TCAGCCTGTCCAGTGTGGTGCAGCCATTGTTGGACTTCTCGGACTCTATCCTGTGAGCTAAGCTGATAAATCTCTATACATATATATTCATTCTATCAGTTCCATTTCTTTGGAGAACCCTGACTAATACAACATCCTTGTCTGGTTCCCGATTTTAATGGGAATGCTTCCAGTTTTTCTCCATTTGGAATGATGGTGGCTGTGGGTTTGTTGTATATAGCCTTAATCATGTTGAGGCATGTTCCCTCCAGTCCAATGTCCTCTAGGACTTTGAATATAAATGCATGCTGAATTTTGTCAAAAGTCTTTTCTGCATCTATTGAGATGACAATGTCATTTTTGTTTTTGAGTCCATTTATATGATTAATGATGTTTATTGACTTTCGTGTAGTGAACCATCCCTGTATCTCTGGGATAAAGCCTACCTGATCACAGTGAATGATCTTTTCGATGTGTGTCTGTATGCGGTTTGCAATATTCTGTTGAGAAGTTTTGCATCTATATTCATTAAGGATATAGGTCTATAGTTTTATTTTTTAGCTGTATCTTTACCTGACTTTGGTATTAGAGTGATGCTGCCTTCATAGAAGGAATTTGGGAGTTCTCCCTCTGTTTCTATTGTTTTGAATAATTTAAGTAGTTTTGATTGGAGGTCTTCTTTAAATGTCTAGTAGATATCTGCTGTAAAACCATCTGGGCCTGGGTTTTTTTCAGTTGGGAGGCTTTGTATTACTGTTTCAATTTCCTCATATGTTATAGGTCTGTTTAAACCATTGATCTCTTCTTGGTTTAACTTTGGTGGGCCCCATGATTTTAGATATCCATCCATTTCTTTTAGATTTTCAAACTGGTAGCAGATAGGTTTTTTAAATATTCCTTTATAATGGTCTGGATCTTTTGGGTGTCTGTTGTGATGTCTCCTCTTTAATCTCTGATTTCATTGACTGGGATTTGCTCTTTCTTTTGGTTAACTGGGCTAAGGGGGTCTATCTTGATTAGCTTTTCAAAGAACCAGGTCTTAAATTCATTGATTCTTTGAATTGTTTTTTTCTATTTCATTAATTTCTGCTCTGAGTTTTTCTATTTCTTCTCTTTTGCTGGGTTTGGGTTTCATTTGTTCTTGCCTTTCCAGGGTTTTGAGTTGCAGTATTAGGTCATTTATTTGGGTCCTTTCTAATTTTTAATGTAGGCACTTAGAGCTATAAACTTCACTCTTAGAACTGCTTTTAAAGTGTCCCAGAGGTTGTGTTGTGTTGTATTGTCCTTTTCATTGAATTCCAGGAATTCTTTTAATTTCTCCTTTGACCCACTAACTGTTTGGCAGTGTGTTGTTCAATCACCACAAGTTCGTGTAGTGACTAGGGCTTTGTCCAGTGTTCATTTTGAGCTTTACTGCATTGTGGTCTGATGAAATGAATGAGATTATTTCAATATTTTTGTATTTGTTGAGGTCTGTGTTGTGGCCTAGTATGTGATCAAGTTTTGAAAAAGTTCCATGGGGTGCTGAGTAGAAAGTGTATTCTTTCGTGCTTGGGTGGAATATTTGAAAGATGTTCCATTTGATGTATTAGTATCATTTAATTCAGGTATCTGTTTATTCTTTGTCCAGTTGACCTAATGGAGACAGTGGGGCACTGAAGTCTCCTGCTATTACGGAGTTGGGGTTAGTCTGTGTCTTAAAGTCCTGTAGTAGTATTTTTATGAATTTGGGTGCACCAGAGGTTGGTGCATATATGTTAAGGATTATAATATTTTCATGGTTAACTGTTCCTTTGATCAGAATGAAGTGACCCTCCTTATCTCTTCTGGTTAGTTTTACTTTGAAGTCTATTTTGTCAGATATTAGAATTGCAACCCCTGCTTGTTTCTTAGCCCCATTTGCTTGGAATATTCTTTTTCATCCTATTACCGTAAGGTACTACCTGTCCTTGAAGGTGAGATGCATTTCTTGCAGACAGCAAAGAGATGGATTTTGTTTCTTAATCCATTCACTTAGCCTGTGTCTTTTGACTGGGGAATTCAGTCCATTAATAGTTAAGGTTATTATTGAAAGATGTATACTGGTTGCCATCATTTTGATGGCTGTTTGTGTTCTTTAATTATGTTTCCTCAATTATACCTTTACTTATTTTCTTTCGTTGCCCCTGGGGTATAGCTGTTTCTCTCTTCACTCTCTGAATTGGTTCAAGTATTCTTTGAAGGGCTGGCTTTGTGGACATTTATTCTTTCAGGCTATACTGGAAATACCTTGGTTCAGGATCTTCTGGCTTTCATAGGTTGCATTTATCATGATAAGTCAGCTGTAATTCTGATGGGCTTTCCTTTCTATGTGACTTGTTTTTCTTTTGCTGCTTTCAGTGTTCTCTCTTTGTTCTGCACATTTAGTGTTTTTACTATGATATGCCATGAGGAGTTTCTTTTCTGGTCCTGTCTATTTGGTGTTCTATGTGCTTCTTGTATTTGTATGGGCATGTCTTTCTTTTTGGGAAATTTTCTTCCACGATTCTGTTTAAGATCTGGCCAATACCATTATGCTGAGATTCTTCTTCTTCATCTATTCCTACGATTCAGAGATTTGGCCTTTTCATGGTGTCCCACATCTCTTGCATATTCCATTACTGTGTTTTTAAAAAAATTTCCAGAATCTTTGCTTGAGGGGTCCAATTCTTCAACTTTATCCTCCAGTGCTGATATTGTTATCCATTTCATTCATTCTAGCAGTGAGGCTTTCCCTTGTTGTTTCAAGTTGGCTTACTGAGTTTTGCACTTCCTTCTTCATTTCTGCCTGAGTTTTCTTCAGTGTTTCTCTCATCTCTTTTGTGAATTCATTCAGATGTTTATCACTATCTTCTTTTAGCTCCTTGATTTGTTTGTTCATGTGTTCTTTAAAATTCGTTGACTTCCTTGATCATGTTCATGACTGTTCTTTTAAATTCAGTGTCCTGGATTATCTCTAGGGGGTTCTCCTTGTAGAACTCTTCTACAGGATCGGTGGAGTTTGGTGGGGACATAGTGTTTTGGCTTTCCATTTTGTTATTTTGTTGTGATTTTGGCATGTGCATTTCTTTTTTTCTTTATGATTCTGATATGGGAATTAAGTTGAAGTATGCTTCTGTTTGTATTATCTAGGTGCCTAGACCCTTTCTTTATTGGTTATGAAAAGCTGGTTGGTACAGGGTTCAGGTTCTCTCAGGTTTAATTTGGAGGGAACTGATGGATTCAGATCAGCTTTTCAGGAGTGCCCAGAGAAGCCCAATTCAGGTTCCAGTCAGGTACACTCAGGCTTCCTTCACCACGTGGAGGCAGGATCTGGGCATTCTCAGGCAGTCTACCCTCTCAGGTTGTCTGCTAGGATCTCAGTCTTAGCCTACCAAAGCCAGATCTGCCCTGGGGCCTTGGGAGGGGCCTCACAAAATCCCAGGTAGGGGGATGGGTATGGCACAATTAGGGGAAGCTCACCACCACATGGAGGCAGAATCCAGGGGCTCTCAGGCAGTCTCCTGCATTCTCAGGCTCTCTGCCAGAGGAAGACCAGAACTCGGCAGTCTCTGGTGGTCTGCTGAGATCAGAGCCGCTAGACCGATGGAGGTTAAAACCCACCCTCTCAGGCTGTGTGCTAGGATCTCAGCCTTAAACTGCCAAAGCCAGATCTGCCCTGGGGCCTTGGGAGGGGCCTCAGGAAATCCCAGGTAGGGGGATGGGTATGGAGCAATTAGGGGAAGCTCACTACCATATGGAGGCAGGATCTGGGGGCTCTCAGGTAGTCACCTGCATTCTCAACCCTCTGTCAGAGAGAGGACACAGGGAGGACAGAACTTCGCACTTTCTGGCAGTCTGCTGAAATCAGAACTGCTACACAGATGGAGGTCGGACAGTATGAGATTCTTTTAAGTACAGTTTAAGACCAAAATAAAGAAAAGAATGGAAGAGTCCTATAAGCAGGCAAGCAAGTTCAAAACATTTTCGTAGGCTTGCCTATGAATGAGGGAAGCAGCAGAAAAAGCTACAGCAAGTGGTGAGAGCTTGGTTCTCTCAACTTCATTAAGTTGAAAATTCAGGACAGGACAAGTGCCCTTCTTATCTTAATATGACATCTCTGCAAAAAAATAAATATAACAGACTAGGAGAAGCAGAGCCAAAAGGGATATATGCCACCACCTCCCTGGGGGGGGGGGGGGGGGGGAAGAAGCCTTTTCTCTATGATATTTGAGTAGTTATTATGTACATAGTGATAGAATATGTGAATTTCAGGAGAGACAGAGAGACATAAGCTCCATTAGAGGAGGCCATAAAGATATAAATTCCTTAGAGTGGCTAACTGGCCCTAAATTGGCAGTCTGGCCTTTCTCAAGCCTTATCAATGGGTCACTCCCTGGACTAAGGGAGACTATGGAGCCCACCTGTCTCCTTTAGTGCTATAGATAACTCACATGCCTACATGAGCAAATAATCTTCAGAAAAGAGACCCTCAAGGACACCAAACCCTGGCACAGAGTTAACTCTTACAGCTGTGTGCAACAGAGTTCCTACATAAGATCAGACTGTTCCCTCTTCAATGAGCAGATAATGATTCCTCGAGGAACAGCTATCAACCCTTTGCTGGGCTTCCTGAATCCAGGGAGCACATCCCTTGCCTGCCGTAGGTCTGACTCTGAGTCTTATTTCTAAACTTTAAACTACTTCCTTTTTCTGCCCTCCCAAATCTAACACATAGGACAGTCTTTTAAAAATATTTTGGGGGGGGGTCTGCAAGATGGCTCCACAAGTAAAGGCAATTACTACCAAGATTGACAACACAAGTCTGATCTCCAAAACCCATGGTGGAAAAAGAGCACCAACTACAGCAAACTGGCTTCTAACCTCCACATGTACATGTGTACACACCCACACACAAACAAATAAATATTTGTAATGTTTTTCACTGATTCCTGAATGCACTGAAAGTTAAAATCAGAATCGTTTCAAATCTTTCCAAGTAAAAAGATGATAAGGTCCTTTACCTCTTGCTTTCCATCCAAACTGGTAAGCAGCACTGGTCGACCGATACATATGTTTGCAGACTTCATAGTGTTGAGTCCAAGGTGAACAAGGGAATTCTGGAATGTCTTAGGAACTTTGCCATCTACTATAAAAAAAAGAAAAAATATTTTTGTACTATTTTATAACTGAAAATAAGGTGTGGTTTATTTTAGAGTAAATAAAAATCCTCTACCCATGTAACCATATCAGTGCACTTACCATATCCCAGAGAAACCTCTTTTCTGTTTGTCTTTTAGGACAGGGTCTCCCTATAGCCCTAGCTGGCCTGGAACTTGCTATGTAGACCAGACAGAGATCCACCTACCTCTGCCTCCCAAGTGCTGGGATTTAAGGCATGTGACACCACAGCTGGCAAGAAATCCTCTTTCTTAACAAATCTAAAAATAAAATTTGAGTGTTTAATGGCAACATGTGAGTATTAACTAAAAAGAAAAAAAGCCTCTCATTTCTTTTAAGAACTAACCACATGGGGCTGGGGACATAATTCAGTACCTAGGTTGTATCCCCAGCATTGTCAAAAACAAACAACAAAAATAAAAAATTTTAATTGCAATGAAGAGTCTCTGAACTTTCTGCAACACAGATTCTGGGTCAGCTACTAGTATTCAAAAGCTTCCACTAAGAACTGGCACATCTATCTGGTTGCCTCTAGATGTTTCCACTTCTGACCCACATACTCCAGGATTTTAAAAACTTCCCTAATTACCTCCAGTCTTCTATGTTAATGGAGATCATGTAAAAATTCCCACCCAATGTCCTCCTTTCCCAATACACCATTATGCAATTCTCCACTTACATTCTCCAACTCAAGTTGTTCACGCAATTCTGATCACTAGTCCTCATTCCTCCAGTACTTTGTAATTTTTTGTGTGTGGCGCTCAAGCGGTGGTTAGAGAACAACTTAAGGGAGTTGGTTCTTTCCTTCCACCTCATGGATTCCAGATCTCTTTAGCTCAGGTCATCAAACACAGCAGCAGGAGTTTAAGGCAGCTGGTCACATTACATCCACAATCAAAAGGAAACAATGAATTTAACACAAGCATTAAATTCATTGCTCCCTGCTCTTGACTAAGGATGTGATGTGACAGGTTTTCTCAAGCTCCTGCTGCTGTGACTTACCTCTTTTAGACTGTGAACCAAAAAAAAAACCCCCCAAACAAAAAATCACCCTTTCTTGCCAGGCAAAAATGGTGCCTTTAATCCCAGCTCTCAGGGGGCAGAGGCAGGTGGATCTCTGTGAGTTCAAGGCCAGCCTGGTCTACATAGTGAGTTCCGGGGCAGCTGGGGTACAGGAAGACCCTGTCTCAAAAAGACCAAAAAATACCCTTTCTCTCTAAGCTGTTTTTTTAGGGTATTTTACCACAACAATGGAAAAGAAACTAAGACAGCTGTGGGTATGTGTGTGGTATGAGTATGGTACCAGCAGGTGAGCACAGATTGTCAGGTACCTTCCTCTATAGCTATTTGTGCTATTGCCTTGTGACAAGGCTCTCACTAATCCAGAAAGAAGCTTGATGGGTTTTGGTGACGCTGGCCAGTGAACTCTCAGGATCCACCTGTCTCTGCTCCCCGCCATCCCCATGATGGGTTATAGGCACATGCAGCCATGCTAGACTTTTTACACGGTTCCTCCTGCTTGCAGAACAAGTCTCTTATCCACTGAGCCATCTCCCCAGCCCTCTGCTCAGCTTTTTACAAGAGTGCTAGAGATAAGAGCTCTAGTCCTTAAGTCTGTGCCATAAGCCATTAACCCATCTCTTCAGCCTACAAAGGCAATTTCAAACAATCTTGCTTCCTTGAACTCCCAGAGTTTATAACGTAGCAAGATGAGTTATCTATCCAACAATTACTGAATATCTATATAGGTACAAACTAAAACTAACAAAAAAACAGAATAACTGAAGAGTGCTATTATGTGAAATCTGATGTAATTTGGAAGAATCAGAGAATGTTATTCAAAACAAAGTGCTATTAAAATTCAGGTGCAGGGGAAAAAAGGAGGAAATAACTAAATAAGAAGAAAAAAAAATTACCAACAGAGAATAGCATGTAAAGCTGCTGTGGATAGAAAGGAATATGACACACCCTCTAGAGGGTAAGAGTGATGGGAGAGAAAGGGGATTGTGTAAGCAAAGACAAAACCACCCAGGATAACAGATTATATCAAGACACTGGTCATAACCCTAACAGTAATTGAAGTCCAGGGGCATGTATGGTAGAACATGACAAGATATTCATTTTAAAAGATCATTCTGACTGTTAAATCAAAAAGGAGTAATTAAGGGGACAAATTGGTAGAAGACAAATCAAATAAAAGGCTACTGCAATGCTGGGCATGGTGGTACACACCTTTAATCCCAGCAGAGGTAGGCTGTGATTTCTGTGAGATCTCCATGTCAGCTGAGGCTACAGAGATCCAGTCTCAAAACAAAACAAAAAAGCTATTGTTCATAGGACAGAGGAAGGTGTCAGACTGAGATGGACTCATGAAGTTGGTTCTAAAGTACCTTTGAGAAATGAAAGAAAAGGTAGTGGACAGTGCTTTTCGAAACTTAATCTACAAACTGGTTCATGATGGAAATAAGTACAAAACATGATAATCACTTAAGCATTTACTGCAACTTGATAAAATTCTATATCTGGTGAACCCAAAAAATTTAATTATTTTGCTTTTTAAATTTTTTTGCTAAACTGAATGTATTTTACAAAAGTGTCAATGTGTTAGCTATTGAACATTTAAAAAACTCTGCCACAGCAAATCAGCAAATCATCCTGATTTAAAGGACAACTGAATCAAGACTCAGAAACAGTATTAATTATGAAAATAAATAAAAAATTGAAAAGAATAGAGATGGGAAACTGTTAGCATTGGAGCACTTGCCCTATAGAAAATATAGAGAAAAGAGGGTATCAGACTAAGAAAGAACTGAGAAGCTTCAGGTGAAAAAGGGTAAACCTGCAAAAGAATCTGATTACCAATACCCATGGGGAAAAATTAGGATAGTCTGATGGCAAATAAAACAAGTAATAAGGTGTTTTGAGGAAAAAATGGTCAACAATGCCAAATGTTACTAAGGGTAACAAGATTTGCCAACATGGACACAAATGTGTGGCTATTACAAGGCAGTTTCCAAGAAATGGTGGTGTGAAAGTCAACTAGGACCAGGCTAAGCAGTATGTGAGTTGTAAGGTGGCAGAGCACTCCATTTAATTTGTCTGATAATGAAAACATGGTGGCAGAAAATATGGAACTTTTGTTATTTAAGATAGAAGAGAAATGAACCGTGGGAAAGATCTAGTATGAAAGAAATAAAATGCCCAAGACAGAACAAGTTTATTCTTGCCATTTCTAAAACAGAATGAAAACACTACATTAACAATAAGACTGCCTTTAAGGTCCAATTAGAGATAAAAAACTTTAGATGGCTCAGTGGTTAAGAACACTGGCTGCTCTTGCAGAGGACCCGGGTTCAATTCCTAGCACTCACATGGTGGCTAACAACTGTACTGCAATTGCAATTCCAGTTCCAGGGGATCTGGTGTCCTCTTCTGACTTCTAACGGCATTGCAAGACACAGGTGCACTTACATGCAGGCAATAAATGCAGACACATAAAATTAAAATAATAAATAAAAATGTAAAACCCCTTGCCCCTCGTTTTAATCTGTTCCATTTTTTTCAAAACTATTATACATAAAGCATGCCTCAAGACATAAGTCTACAGCCCATTCCCCCAAGTCAACAAAACTACGATTAAGCAATGGCTGTAGACTCGAACATCAGACTCAAACATGGATTCTGCCACTTGCTACCTGTACAACCCGGATGGAACCCCATTAACTTTCTCTACACTTAAGAAAGGCCATTAGAATACAGTATTCACGCATCACAGCTTCTGTGAAAACCAGATGAGAGAAGCAGATGACAGGGCTAACTTGCTACTACTACTAGCGTGCAATTAATAGTTGTGACTTATCAGGGCCTGCGCGCCGTGGAAGAAAACTCCCCTACTCCTAAAGACAAGGCTGACTTAGGCAGTACGGATCCACAGTCTCAGAACACGCTCTTTGGCTTTTTAGCGTATCCTACGCTCGCTAAATAGGAATCATTTAATCTGAAGGGGGAAAAGGCCTTTTCAAATGCAATTTTAAAATTCTAGGATCGCGGGATATTACTGATTGCCGGGGTTCACTCTCCAGATACTGCCCAAACAATTCTGGAGCCCGCGGGAGGATGAGCAAACCAGGCTCTGTTTTTCCTGCGCCGGCAGCTCGAGCCCAGGCTAGGCCTCCGGCTCCCGCGTCACGCCCACCACCACAAGCAGGAACCCCTCGGGTGGCGCGCCTTGGCCTCGAAGCCCTCTACATTCTTACCTTTCTCGAGAAAGTTAGTCACCACCAGGGTCCCCGGCGCCGCCGCCCCCACCGCGTCCGGTCGAGCAGAAGCAGGAGTCCCCGCGCGCGAGGGACCAGCCGAGAACGAGGGAGAGCCTCCATCCGAGCCTTCTTTCAGCCGCTTTCGGCTCTTCTTGGAAGACATGACTGAAGGCTACCTGAGAGAAGCAGCCTCAAAGCTGGCTCAACGTGCGCGGTTGGGGTAGAAAAGTTCCGGGTTAAAGGTCAGCGGCTCGGCGTGCGCCCTTAATCCTCCGAGCAGAGCGCAGCAGAGCAGGTGGCCTGGAGACCCAAGGTCTACAGCCCGCCCCAGCCCGCCCCATCTGAAGCTGTTGTGGGGTGAACGTTCTCCTACCGTAAAAGAGGAGCTCGGTGTAGGGAACCGCCTTTTATAAGTTCCCGAAAGGCGTCCTTGGGTTTCTCCGCCGCTTGCCTAGTCCTGACACAAACATTGGTTTAAGGAGCAAAGGTGACTAAACTGGAGTTTCTCCGTTTCCCCGAAGCCATAGTGAAGGGCAGGTATGCTCCCCAGTTGTGCCAAGTGGAAGTCGCAGCTAAATTTAGTTGTGTCGCTATTATAGATCTTACGGTAAGACCTCCTCTGCGCCTAGGAGGATGTGGGGCGGGGTGACCCGGCCTCGAATGGCAATTGGCGGAGCGGGGCTAGACCGCAAGGTGGGGCGGGACGGCGCGAGACAGGGAGGGGCGAGGCGACGACCCCAGTGGGATGGGAAGAGAAGGGGAGAGGGGGAGAGATGGGTCCGGGCGAGATGGGATGGGGAGGGACGGTGCGAAATGGGCGGGGTGAGACTAGACAAGGGGTGGGGGGTGTCGAGATGGGGCGGGGCAAAATGGTGGGGGGCAGGGTGGGGCCAGAAGAGGTGAGACGAGGTGATGGAGGGGCGGGGATAGATGAGAAGGGGCGTGGCTACACCGGGAGGGACGGGCTGGGATGGGGAGGGAAGAGGCAAGATGCGGCGGGATGAGGCGGTGCCCATCAGATGGGGCGGAGCTAAGGAGGTGGGACAAGGCGATGGATGGAGCAGAGCTAGAGGAGGGGCGGGGCTAGCTGGGGAAGGGCGGGACTAGATGAAGGGCGGGGCGAGCGCAGAGGAGGCCGTCCCTCTGGGCTCCAGCTTTCTTAGAGCCGTCCGGCTCCTCCATGTGGAGGCTCTGGAGTTCCCGACGTGGGCTTGCGGTGCTGCCCTGCTGTGGCCGAGCAGCCTCCGGCGGCCTACAAGATCCGGTCTCCGGCGTGGGCAAGCTACCCAGCGAGCTGGACAGATTCGGGGGCGTCTTGGTGCACCTGCGTTGTCTGGACACGCGCCAAAAGGCAGTTCCTGCAGGGCAAGTGCGGGGCTCGGCTCGAGGCACTGGGAAACCGAGGGGGGGAGTGCGCTCTCTGAGGTGAAAGCTGAAGGACGCTGACCTTGGACGGACAGACGCCCAGAGGTCGCCTCAGTGCGGCCTTCGGGATGTACCCTCTACCTAGTCCAGGTCTTGCTGCGAAGGTTGGACGCACCTAGCACCGGGTTGGGCACATGTGAAGTTTAGTAAATGCGAATGTTAGCACTCACTCCCCCACACTTGCAGTGGTGCTGTCCCTCCGCCACTGCGCTGTCGGTATTGTAAACCCGGAGGACAGTCGGGGGACGGATGAGAGCAGCTCTGCTGGTCTCATTTACTACATATAGGAGCAATTGGGTCTAGAATTGAAGTTTGTCTCACGGAATTTTGCAGCTTTCAAATAGGAATACACTCCATAGGCTTTCAACATTGGGCCCAGTAACAGGAAACGAAGGTTGGAGGAGGAGCCCACACTAAGGAACTGGTGCTTGGTTTGGGAGAGCAGACTCGTTTTCAGACTGCCCCTGAGGAGAAATCCAAACTGAAGGCATAGCATGGAAATTCGGCTCAGAACGATCTCTCCCATAACAGGAAACCTCAAATGATCTGTAATTTATGGCATGTAAATACAAATAAGCTTAGTTGATTTGTTGTTTAATCTTCATCCCAGAACCAAACTACTTACCTCTTCACATCTATGTGTCCTCCAACTGCTCCTATCTGTAGTAAATGAGACCACGCGATTGCCAGTAGCAAAATCAAATCTGTTCAACCCGATATGTATGTGTACACGTGTGTGGATGGGTACAGATGATGTGGTGGTAATCCACCACATCAAAAAGTATGTTGGATTTGGACATATATTCAAGATTCAAGCCCCAGGTTTGGGGCCACATGCTTTATGCCAAGCATTAGACAAGGCTAGTGGTGCAAGCCTTTAATCCCAGCACTCTGGAGGCAGAGGCAGTCCAGGTCTGCATAGCTAGTTCCAAGCCAGCTAGAGGTACAGGGAGACCTCTTGTCTCAGAAAAACAAAACAAAAAGAATCCAACAATTATGAATTAATTTAGTCCTCACAACAACCTTGTGAGGTACATGGTGTTATTCCCAGTTGGAAGACAATATGTAATTCCCCCTGGCTCTATTCTGTGTCATGATGCTCTACTTACTATCTGTTAGTTCCATTGTAATGGAGTCAAAACTAGCTGGTAGGACATGTAAAGAAAAACTAATTGGAGAAGAAAGCCTAATAGGAAGTCTTTCTTTTTCCTCATCAAGCAAATTACACAGATTGTATTTAATCTATTAGGAATAGTTATTAAGCCAGGCATGGTGGCATGCACTTTTTACACATGAAGTCTGTTCTTTTACTATTTCTATTTTGTTATCGACAACTCAAAAGTTGTCAATAAATGCTGTCTCACAAATGTCTTTCTTGGCAGAGGAGGGGCATTTGAGGCAGGTAAGTGGTACATAAAGCTGAGGCTGGCTTCACACTCAGGATTGATCCTTCTGCCTCTGCTCCCAGAGTGCTGGATTACAGAAGTTGCATCACTATTCCTGGCATCACAGACAGTATTTGTACCAATGGTGAAACAGCTCTGATTCCTGTGGGAAGACTGCAAATGCACGGCGTTTTAAATAGAAATAGAAAAACTAGATATAATAGATGTTGCTAGGTAGCATGGACATAGGCTAATCAGTTGGTTAGAACCTTAGTGATTATGGAGAGTTTGGAATGTGTCAGGTCCAGAACCTAATTACCATTTATCTTGGGCCATCTTTAGCCCCCAAAATAGCCACTCCTTGCCCACCTTTGTTTTTGACTTACCGTCTGTGACTAACAGATAAAAACCTTTTGGAATGTATTAACTTAGCAGATCAACAGCTTCTACTACCAAAAAGCTGGATTGCCATTAGAAAACATCTGAGACCTATAGCTGAGATTTCTCTTTTGCTTTGTCCGCCTACTTAATGGAATATCTTGATTTATGACTTTTTCTTCTGTTACTATAAAAAGTTAATGAAACTGTTACCACATTGGAACATGGAATTTGGGGTAACCTGAATCTGTTTTCCTGGACCATGGTCACTCATTATCTGGCTCCAAAATAAACTCTTACCCCTTTGAGATGATAATTCTTCTGTGTTGACATATCAACTTCAAAATGATTTAATTAGAGAAAGTGAGGAAAGAATGATCTATCTGATCCTATAGCTACAGTGCATGCTGGATCAAATGAAGAAATCTATTAAAGAACCATGGATTTGTCACTGTGCTATGCACATTGACCGCCAAAGAGGAAGAGTCCATGGTCCTTAACATGGAAGAGCTTACTGCAGAGCTGAGGCAGAACAGCATCATTGTTAAAAGGAAGTAAAATAATGGATGGAAAAATTGATTTGAAAAGGTTTTCTAAAATGTCTGAATTGTCAGGGTTCATTTCTTCATCCATAAATTAAAAGTCACCTTGTCTTTCATGATTGTGAGAAACTAGATAATGTAAAGTGTCTGAAACTTCTAAATTAGCATCTTTCCCCTGGCTTAATCTTACATAGAAAAGTAAGAAAATTTAAAGAATTCTAAGAAAGCCTATCTTTATGTTCATCATGGTCATTTATAATAAAGAATATTTTATAATAAAGAATATTTTAAAATAATATTAATGTCTAAGAGTAGAAGGATGGTTAAATAGCTTGTGAATACTTACATGAGAGACACTGCTATTATTGAGAAATTCATGCTCATTGAAAGAATTTTAATGACAGTCTGCTCTGTATATAATGTATTATGAACCACGTGATATAAGGTGTATATGTGGTAAAGTTTATTTCTAATTTCGTGTGAAAAAACTCAAGATTTTTCTCTGTTCAGACTCATAATAGATTGGTTTATTTCTTCATTATATTCTCTTTTATACTTTCTTGATCACCTTGCAATTTTAAACCATAAATAATTTTCAGAACTCTTACAGGAACAGTCAAAAACACCCTAAATTGTCATTTATAAAGATTAAAATTAAGGACATTAAGGAAACAGCATTGGCTGGGGTTTTGGCCAGTGGTAGAGCACCTGTGTAGCATGCATGAGACTCTAGGTTTCATCTCCAGAACTGGAAAGAAAAAGAAAGCAAAAAAGTATTAAAAATCACATTTGTTAGCTGGGTATGGTGGCACACGGGTTTAATCCCAGCCCACAGGAGGTGGAGACAGGCAGATCCCTGTGAGATCAGGCCAAGCCTGGCCTGTAGAATTCCAGGCCAACTGGAGCTCAGAAAGACTCTGTCTTAATAAAAAATGAAAATAAAAAATCACATTTGTTTTGTCAGTTCCTTTGTCCACTTTATAATGATTGAGCACCTATTGTGTGGCAAGTCTTTAGATGGTATTGATATAAAGCTCAGCACTGTTCTGGGTAGAGAATCACATAAATAATGTGATTCTGGTAAAATATGGTAGCAACCCTGATGGGGACATGAGTTTCCCAGAAGTGTGTGCTAAAAGGATGTGACCCACTCAACTCATTTGAAAAACTTCACAGGTTGTTATTTTCCTCTACATTTCCAACTGCCGTACAGCAGTGGAGGTCAGAGGCAGGAGAGCTGTGTGGCTACACATCCCCATCCTGCAGAGCCACCACATTTCCCCTGCTGCTTCCCTGGGCTTCTGCTTCCACCATACAGAATCCAATTCCTCCACGCTGACTCTGTGGCTGGGAGAAGGACCCAGCAGATTGCCAGGATATGCTACCCATCAAGTAGGAGTTGTAGGTCAGTTTCAAACGCAAGTCCACTAACATTTGCTTTTACAGGTTTATACAATGTCTTTCTTCTTATAACTAAACAGATAATTTATTGGTGAATGATTTGGTTCAGTAATCACTGTGTGATTGTTGCACAGTGCTTTTAAATAATTGACATTAGCCTTATGAATCAGAGGGGCAGCACAGAGAACAAGTGTGGAGGTGAGCTTTCCAAAGTACTGGTATGCTTGAACATGCTTCACACAGGGGTGGAGCTGAATTGGAATAGGGAAATAAATTCAACTCAGTATAGCATATGGCAATCCAAATAAACAAAACAATCAGATTCTCCAGAGAATAAGGATATTTGGGAGATACCAAAGCACTGTGATGGGATTACATGCACCACAGTAAATTTGGAATATATTAAAAAAGGAAAGAGCAAGTTTTTAAAGATAAATATGGTGCTGGAGAGATGGCTCAGCAGTTAAGAACGCTGTTTTTAGAGAAGGCCTGGGTTCGAATCCCAGCACCCACATGGCAGCTAACAGCTGTCTGTAACTCCAGTTCCAGGGGATCTGACAGCCTCTTCTGTCCTCTGCAGGCATTGCATGACATAGGTGCACTTACCTACATGCAGGCATAACACTCATACACATAAGATAAAAATAATAAAATTTTAAAAAATAAAGATAAATATAGGAGGATTAGAGAAGGTATTTGAAACAGTAATCTTTGGGCATATCCATTAATAATAAAATTTTGACATTGGTCCAAGGTTGAGTAGGTAGTGGTTAGGCAGATGTCCTTGTAGAGTTGTGTGTTATGTGTTATGGCTTCTGTAAACCTGTGATTCTATTAGTCTTTTGTGATAGTTACTAGCAAGCATTTGTGCATAAAAACCTTTCCTTCATAACCACCATGCCTTATTTACTTTTGTTAGGATTGACACAGAATTCCACTTTGATTCTGACAATTTTCTTATTTGTTTCATACATACTAGAGCTAAATATATACTAAATATGTAAATTTATGTTGTGAAGTAAAATTTGGGGGCCTGGAGTGGTGGTGCAGGTATTTAGTCCCAGCACTCGAGGCAGAGCCAGGTGGATCTCTATGAGTTCAAGGCCAGACTGGTCTACATAGCAAGTTCCAGGTCAGTTGGAGCTACAGAGAGACCCTGTCTCAAAAAGACCAAAAAAAAAAAAAAGAAAAAACTTTTGGGGTTGAATTTAAGGTAGGGCAAATGAACTGTGGTAGTTTAAATGAAAAATGTAATCCACCGTAGGATCAAGTATTTGAATGCCTGTTTCCCAGCTGGTGGTGCTGTTTGAGGAGATACTAGGAGGTGCAGCCTTGCTGAATAAAGTATGTCACTGGGGACAGGCTTTGAGAGTTCAGAACCTTGTCTTACTGCTAGTTCACTCTATCTTTCTCTGCTTTGTATTTGTTGATGAAGATGTAAGCTATCAGATTCTTGCTCCAGCTGCCATTTCTGCCTCTTGCTGTGCCTTCCTACAGTGATGAATTCTTATTCCTCTGGAATCATAAACCCACATAAACTCTTCCTTCTGTAACTTGCCTTTGTCATGGTGTTTTATCACAGGAACAGAAAAGAAACTAATATAGAACTTGGTACCACAGAATGGAAGAATCTGAAGAATCTGACCATATTGTGTTTTTGGAGGAATGTGGAAGATTTTAGGACTTTGAACCAGAAAACTGGTCAAATGCTGGAAGCAGAGCTTAACAGGGTGTTCTAGTAGGAGCCTGGAAGACAGTGGTGCTAAGAGTAATGCAGATGGTGGAGGCTGGGCTCCAGAGGTCTCAGAGGAGAACAAGGTCTCTATTAGCAACTAGAGGCAATACCTGTGATATTTTGTCAAAGAACCTAGATGTTTTCTGCTTGTGTCCTGAGAAGTTACATGAGGCTGAATTTTAAAGTAATGTATTAATTTCTTTGGCAGAGGAAATTTCAAGACAGCACAATATAGAATCTCTGGTGTGGTGATTTATGATAAAGATTATGCAGATCTATAATGAAAAAAAGCAAGTGGAACAAAAAGAAATATAAAATGTACTCTTTGAAAGAACACTAATGTTAGAGCCAAGTTGTATGCTGGAAAACAGGCTGTAATTGTTAAGGAGATTAGTGTAATTAAGGAGAGGCCTCCAGCTCTGCACTGGAACAATGGGAAAAGTGTCCTGAGGGCAAGACTCCACAGAGCTAAGCTTCTGACTTGGGAAAGGAAAAGGCCTTAGGAGTTTCTAGCAAATCCATGATGTACTGAGCAGCATGTATAATAAATGAGTAAAAGAGACAGACTGGAGCTTTAAACATATATAAAATAAAACTTTCCAAAGCAGGGTATAAGTGTGTTATAAAGTATGCACATGTGGTAAGGAAATTGAACTGGCTTCAGATAAATCTTGGTGAATATTGGAGACATTTGGAATCTAGATTGCTAGGAAGCAGAGACCTGTGCCCTGCACTGATTGACAGAGTAAGAATAAGAATAAAGAAGTCACTTGTTTAGTACTTAGAGCACTGCTATGGTCTGAATGTTCATATCTTCCCCCATTCATATTGTTAACTTAATCCCCAGGGTCATGGCATTAAGAGATGAGCTACTGGAGCTGTAGAGATGGCTCAGTATTCAAGAGCACTGGCTGCTCTTGCAGAGGACCCAGGTTCATTTTCCAGAAGCTGTCTGTAACTCCAGTTGCAGGGGATCTGAGGCCACTTTCTGGCCTCTCTGGGCAATGTACACACACAGTGCGGTTACATAGATGCAGCCAAACACTCAAATACATATAAAATGTTCTTAAACAGGAGATGAGGTATTAGAGCCCCCAGTAACAGGCCCAAGGAGGCTTGTTCACCCCTTCCAACCCTGTGAAGATGTGTCTATGAGGAGTGGACCTTTCTGAGACACTAGATCTGCCCATGCTTTGATCTAGACTTCCCTGCATCTAGAACTATGAGAATAACATGTTTCTAAGCTATCCAGGAGATAGTATTTTATTATAGAAAATAAGATGAACTGCAGCAAGTACAAGTATCTGAACACCAACGAAAATGTTATTAAAAGGATAAAAGGGGGCTGAAGAGATGACTCAGTGGTTAAGAGCACTGACTGCTCTAGCAGAGGACCTGGGTTTGATCCCCAGCACCCACATGGCAGCTACAAACCATCCTTAACTCCAGTTCTAGGGGAATCCGACGCCCGCTTCTGACCTCTGTGGCATTGCACGACACGGGTGCACTCACAAACATGCAGGCAATACACTCATAAAATAAAAAATAATAAAATATTTTTAAAAAACACTGGTTCTTCTTGCAGAAGGCCCAGGTTTGAATCCAAGCACCCACATGGCAGCTAACAACTGTTTGTAACTCCAATTCCAGAGGAATCCAACAGCCTCTTCTGTCCTCTGTGGGTACTGCACAACACAGGGGGTGCACTTACCTACATTGCAGGCAATATATGCATACACATAAAATAAAAATAATAAAATATTTTCTTAAAAAAGATAAAAAGATATTTAACTGAGGAATACATACTATGTAGAAGATATGCAAATGATTATTCTCCAACTTAGCATATGCCATAACTATCATTGTTATTCCAAACTATTAGCTTAATTTTTTTTTTTTAATAAGAAAAGAAAACTGGTCAACTGAGCAATCCTGCTAGAGAGATGTTTTACAGTCTTCTTGGCTGAGGTATCTGAACCAGGCCTTCAAGTATGGGTGGGATTTTGATTGCTACAGGTAAGTATGGGAGGAGATAAAGGTGAGTGAAAATATTTTCCAATTACCTTTTTCCCCCCCCAAAGGTGGTGTATTTGATGAAAGTACTAGAAAAGTATTGGTTGTACAAGATCAAAATGAAGTAAGTTGTTTCTGCTTTATAGAGAGCTTTTCCAAATGTTCAGCTGTCTCTACAGAAAAATATAGAAATTTTGCTGTGACTAAGGGATTATAGAGCAATATTTTAAAAGTTGTTTCTAGCCAAGAATAGAGCCAGGCAGGACTGGCCTACATAGTGAGTTTCAGCCCTGCTGAGTCTATATAGTGGGAGATATAGATATATATATCTTTTGAGATATATATATCTCTATATTTTGGGATATATATATATATATTAAGCAGTTATGGACCATTTGAATACTAATTATTTAAAAAGTACTGCTAGAGGCCTGAAACTGCCAGCATAACCCTCCATGCCCCCTACTCATTCCATGGCTATAGAATATTACAAGTGAAGCTGTTTAGTTGGGAAGACAGCTATTTGTTCTACATTGTTGAGATAGCTTCCATTCATTCAGCATTCTTAGAGTTCCTGAGTATGCAGAGAGGGCAGATTAATAAGGTAATATCCCTCACAGTTCTGCAGCTCACTATTGGACAAATCATAGAATGGATGGTAACAATTAACTTTGCCTTAAGAACCCCTAGAGACTCCTCAGAAGAGGTGACATTTCAAACTGAATCTAGAAGAATGAGTAGGAACCTACCAGGTTAAAAAAAAAGAATAGACAAACTGAGAAAAAAAAGTAGAAGTGACTGTGTGAAAGTAGAGTTCAGCAAGGGCTGCCACATTACAAAAGAGCCAAATGAGGAGTCTATCTACTAGAAACAACAAAGACTTTTAAGGGACGTACCATGATAGTGATCAGGTGTTTTCATGCCCAGGCATTTAAGTCAAAGTGAAAGAAATGCCTTTCCTTTTTTTGTGGTGCTAGGGACCAAAGCAAGGCCTTGCACATCCCATACAGCTCCAGCCCAGCAAGAATATTTATTTTTATTCTTTTTGAAACTTCATTAAACATAACTGGACAAATTAAACATTTTTTCCATCATACATATTTTTAACTTTTCAAAAAACTATTTTATTTAGTATTTTATTTTATGAGTGTATTGCCTGCATGTGTGTAGGTGCACCTATGTCGTGCAATGCCCATGGTGGTCAGAAGAAGGCATCAGATCCCCTGGAACTGGAGTTACAGATGGTTGTTACTTGCCATGTGGGTGCTGAGAATCAAACCTGGGCCCTCTGTAAGAGCAATCAGTGCTCTTAACTGCTGAGCCATCTCTCCAGCCCCATGTTTTAATTTTTTAATTAATGTTTGTAATGATAGCTGAAAACAGCACATAATTTCTTAAAAATGCTATCTAAAATCATTCTGATAAGTAACTTTTGAGGTTTAATTAAGGCAGGCCCTCTGACTCACATAAAGCTTTTTACCATGAACATAAATTTATACAGTACCTAAGGCAGTACTGTGCCTCTTTCTTAAGTGTTATATTTTGATTGGGGCATAAATATATACACTTGATAGGAAAGACTAGAGAGTAGGGAATCTGATTTGACAGCAATAATAGGGTTGATTATGAGGGCACTTGAAAGTCAGACATGACTGTAGGTTTATAATGCAAACAGTTGTTAATGTTAGGATTTACTGTGATGACAAAGGGATACAGTGTATGAGAAGGTTAATGTTATAATACTTAGATTAACCTGACATGCCAGGTGAGAGGAAGGCAATACAAACTAAATAAGGAGACTGTATTTCAGACTGCCAGCCACTTCTACCTTGTCAAGCCTGAGCCTTAGTTTCCTCCTCCTTAAAATCTAGATGACAGTATTGTCATGTATTGCATGCCATACATAGCCAAAGCAGTTCACCCTCTTTTGAAATCAGATATTTGGAAGTGAGGCTGCTCTGACATCACAATAGGAAAGCCTAGACAATGGAGTGTGATATGTGTCATAATAAGAACATTTTTAGGGACTGGAGAGATGTCTCAGCAGTTAAAAAGAGCACTAGCTGCTCTTGCAGAGAACCCAGGTTTGATTCACAGCACTCACATGGCAGCTAACACTCATCTTTAACTCCAGTTCCAGGGAATCTAACATCTCTTCTAGCCTCCACAAACACCAGGCATACATGTAGTGCACTTACATACATGCAGGCAAAACACTCATATACATAATATAAAAATAAGATCTTTGAAAAAAAGTTTAACATGGGTGCTTTAAAACATATTAAACTTTAGTTCTATCCAACATTTTACATATAACTAAAATAATGAAAATGAAGCTCGTGGATTCTCTCTGATCTTTGTTCCAGTATCTACATTATCTTTTGGAAGAAAGTAAACTAATTATGTAGAAATAGTTCTATTTTGGTCCATAAATATGTCACTTAGAGAAAATATATTCTATACAGAGAACTATATTTCTGATTCTTTAACGTTGCAATTTTTATTTCTTGTGTTTGCATATATGTGCTTACACATGCACACATACAACAGTTGAAAGTCAGTGTATCACCATCTCATCAGCAAGTGCCACTTGACCAGCTAAGTGTAGTATAGCTATTTTCCTGAGCTTAGATTTCTAGTAAAACCATCTTCCCTTTCCTGCATAGCTCTCCAGTTATATTTATCTCTTACTCCTACTTAACTATTTAATTATTATGTGATATGCAGCCTGGAGGCTCTGGTTCACATCATGACAATGTTGTCACCAGACTTCGTGGCCTCTTGCTACATGAGTACTCACCTGCTTATAGATAGCAAAGCATTGACTGGCATTATTTTCCCCTCAGAAAATAAATGAATTATGATCTCTCCAAAATAGAAATACTGACTTCCTGAAGAAATATTAACAATAGGACAAAAATAACTGTGTGAGGTATTGTGTGTGTGTAGTGTATGTGTTTGTAGTATATATGTATGTCTTCACATGTGTACATGTGTACATGGAGAATAGAGTTTGATATTGAGTGTCTTCTTCAGTTGTTCTTCACCTTGTTGAGACGGTCTCTCACTGAATCCAGAATTAAACAATTCATCTAAACTGGCTGTCCAGGATCTCCAAGGATCTGCCTTGGCTCTGCACCCCCATCATTCCAGCACTGTGATTGCATATACCCACAGCTGTAACTGATCTGAGCACAAGTCTTCATGCTTAAACAGTAAGCGCTTTACCAACTGAATCATCTCCCCAACCTTTTGTGGGATAAGTATTATAATAGTACAAGATTTATATAAGGATCATCGTGCTGCATTATACTGTATTGTCTATCTCATGGCATTTGCAAGCATGTAAAGAACTATTCTACATCTTTACTGAGTAGTACATCCATCCTTATCGTCCATGTATACGTTAAGTTACCTAGAAAAATGTGGAGTCTTGGCAACTATCTGTCATATGTGTTTTAGACAATGACATATAGAGCTGAATTACAGATGACTTTCAAAGACCTTTCAGTTCTGTCTGTGATTCTGGTAGAAATAATAAACAGCACTGTGTGGAAGAGATCACCTCACCTTCTACCTTATGTTGGCAGAAAGAGTATAATAGCACATAGATGGGTCAAACAATGACAGGCCCTCATGGTGGGTGTAGTATGCATGTGCATGATATATGTATACATATACGTATTATCTATATGCAAAACACATTGTGAGTAATATATGTTATGAGCTAAGAGCTCTGAAGATGCTGTGTTGGTGCTAGAACATGTCAAGACTATTGAGAAACAATATTCTTGTTATCAAGCTTTCCAAGAAATTCCGGTGGAGATTCAAACTGCTAACTCAGTTGGGCTTCCTGATTTTGCTGATTGTCAAGACCACCAGTGGCTGGTTAAGAATAAGAAAATGCTACTGCTGAGCTATCTCTCCAGCCCCAAGATGCATGCTGTGGTGACAGACATGCATTGCTATGTCAGTTTGTGTCATGCTGGGGATCAAAGCCAGGGCTTCAAGCATGCTAAGCAAGTACCTTGCCAACTGGCCTATATCCCAAATCCCTCAATACATTTTTTATTGAATGAACTAAAGAAACTCAATGGCAGCTTCTATATCATTTGTAGTAGCAATAATACTGTAGCTGATGAGATTTACCTAAATAAAACACATCTGCATTCTAGAAAGACACAGTAGTTATTAATAATTAAGCAATTGAAAGGTGACCATATTTCTGACAGTTGATGCCATGACAGCAGAACAAAGAGGAGGAATAATACAAGATAACAATCTATAACTCTGGTTCTAGGGGTTCTGATGCCTTCTGTCCTCCGTGGGCACTGCATGACACAGGTACACTTACATGCAGACATAACACTCATACACATAAAATAAAATAAAAAAATTTATTTTATGAGTGTATAAGTGTATTGTCTGCATGTAAGTGAGTGCACCGTGTCATGCAATGCCGCGGAGGTCAGAAGAGGGCTTCTGATGTCCCTGGAACTGGAGTTAAGGATGGTTTGCAGCTGCCATGTGAGCGCTGGGAATCAAACCCGGGTCCTCTGCAAGAGCAGTCAGTGCTCTTAACCGCTGAGCCATCTCTCCAGCCCCAATAAAAATAATTTTTAAAAATTATAAATATGTATCAAATTTAGAGCCAGAAAAGGTAGAAGAGAATCTGTCATCCTGTTCACCATTCCAAAAATTAAAACATTATTGTTTAAAGTCAACACATTTCTTTAAGTGTGGTGGTCCCACCCTCATCTCCCTCTGCTTCCCTGGGCCTGCATCACCCAACTGGCCCTCTCCTGGGTAAGTCCATCGAGCCCTCCACCCCTGGAATCCCACAGCCTCATTCACCCTCCCATCTGCCCACCTGTCTTTCCTCCTAGCCTGGGTGCTATCCCATTCCTTATCTTGATGGAGGGAGACCACCACTGCTTCCTGATCCTTTACATCCAGACCAACCCAGTTCCTTCTCTGCTCTCTAGGAGCCCTCTGGGCCTGGGCCTGCCTTCACCTCCCTCTGCTTCCCTGGGCTGCACAACCGCCAGCCTCTGACTCTGGGGGCTGACCTTTCCTCTCATGATCCATTGCACCCAGACCAACCCAGTTCCTCAGTGCAGTCCC